AGGTGTAGGGTGGGGGTCCCAGCCGCAGCGACACATGCGGGAGCCGGGAGCGGGGGCGGCGCCGAGCGGAGCCGGCCGGGTCCCCCACGTCGCTGCCGCCTCGGCCACCCACCCGGGGCCGTAGCATCTCGCCCCGGAGTGTATGAGCCGGGGCCCCAAGCTCGGCAACCACCCCCGGCCGGGGGGGCAGGGACCCTCATGTGAAGAGGCGGCCAGGGCGGCGGGGAGAGCAGGACCGGCGCCGCCGTCCTTTCCTTACCTTCCCCCGCCCCTTAACCCCCTCGGGGGTCTTCTCCCGTGGCCAGTCGCCGGCCCCCCGGCTCCTTGGCAGGACTCCGGGAGGAGTTCTTAGAGCCCCCTCCCCCGCCCCAGCCCCGAGGGCGGCGGGGCCGGGGGGACCCGGGGGGCCGGCCGCTGCCTCCACCCAGAGGAAACTTTATAAAGACAAAATTCGGAGCCTCCCAAACGTGACTGTCCCGGGAAAAGTGGCCCAAGACGGGCAGAAGACACAGTTCGGAGAGACCCAGGAAGAGGAAAAGAGGAGGTAAGCGGGGCCGCCGCCGCCTGAGCTTCGGCAGCACGGAAGAGACCCGGGTGGCCGCCTGGTTGAGCGACACGAGCCCCGCTTCTTCCTCAGTAACACGCGAGTCGGAGCCTTCCGCAGCTACAGCCTCAGTCCGGAGGAGGAAGGGAACCAGCCCACTTTCTCAGCGCCACGGCTCCTCTCTAAAGTGTGAGTGTCCCCGGGAGAGGTATTGAGGGGTGGGAAGTGGATGGATGCCGGTGCGTCCTCCTGGAGTTTTGCTGATGTTTTCCAGGAGTGTTGGGAGTGCATAGGTGAGAAGTGGGGTACCTTGATTCCTCACAGTGGGAGAAGTTATTAGGTAGTCCTGTGTTTAACCTTTTAGCTCTTTGTATGTACAATACGAAAACTTACAGGCTTCTCTTAGAGGAGTTCTGTCTTTCTCCAAAGTGGACACTTGCACCTTTCTGGCCAGTAATTGACAAAAGGAAATTGAGGAAGCCGGAGCATATGTGCACACAAAGGACATCTCTGTAATGTACCTTTCCCTGGTACACCGGGTATGAAACAGCTCTGTAGTTTTTGTTTCTGGGTAACCCTTATTTGGGGTTACCCTGTGAACCCCTGAAAGTAAAATCAATCTTTCTTTCCTTTTTTCTTTCTTTCTTTTTCTTTCTCTTTCTTTCTCTCTCCTCTCTCTCTCCTCTCTCCTCTCTTCTCTCCTCTCTCTTCTCTCTCTCCGCCCCGCTTCCTCTCTCCCTCCCTCTCCTTCTCTCTCTCCCTCTCCTTCTCTCTCTCTCTCTCTCTCCCTCCTTCCTTCTTTTCTTTCTTGTCTGAAAAGATAAATAAGTTCATTTCAGTACTTATTGGAGCAGAAGTTTACCTTCTCGTTTCCTGGGTCCGATTCCTGTATGTCAGGAATACATTGTAGCAGATTTAAATTACTCAGGAAATTCTGAGTTCTTATGAATCACAACTTAGTTGTAGGAGAGCATTGATACTTTAACCAGTTATAAAAGTTGTTACATTTGTTTTCTAGTTGTTACATTTGTTTTCTAGTTGTTACATTTGTTTCCTTACCCAAATGCTTTTTTTTTTTTTTTTGCTAGCACTTTTTTATCTGGCAGAATGACTTGAGGCTTTGCATATTTGAGTTGTCTTTACTTCTCTATCAAATGAGAAACTTTTGATATTTAAGATTTTGAAAAATGATTTTTCCCATTACTTTAGAGGTGAAGTCTGTAAAATCTTTGATTTGGATTTTAGGTATCCTTTCAGTGCCAAATTAAGGTGCAGGAAAGTAATTAACATTTCATATGTTTGTATGGACCTTAAGGCTTCAGCATATAATGAAATTTTGAACATAGGCAATAAGTACTGTGCTGAGAATTATGGGCCCTCCAGAGAACTGTGTGGGTTTGCTCTCTCTGAAGCCACTGCTGAGAGAAGCTTTGTGGGAATGAATGTAAGCCTGGGGTTATCTGTGCTAACTTCTCCATTCAGGATCTTGATTAAATTGATTTAAAGCTTTCTAAAACAATGTTTTCATCTTGTTTTTTTTTTTCTCTTTTGAAGTAATGAGTTCCACAAACTTATTAGCTCCTGAGTTATGTAGCAATTCGTTTATTTATCCCAATCCTGTCTCTTTAAAGTTTTAGGACACATCTAGAGTTTATGTTTTGAGAAATGTTAGAACAAGCGAGAGTTCATCTTTTTCTGGTTTTACAGATTTTGATTCTCTTTACCTTCATCTTTCTTGATTCTTTTTGTCTTAGACTGATTTCTTCGATCCCTTTAATCACTCTGCTCTTCTCCAGAACTCCATATGTTTTGTTTTTCATTATATGCCTTGTTCTTGTTATGCTTTTATAGGGCACCTTAAATTCTATTTTAAATGGTTACTGACATGAAAATATTGATTAGTGGATGTAATGTTAGACATGGAATCAAACCTAATGTCTCTGGATCTGTTATCTTATTTTGTGACCTTGAGGAAGTCATGTATTCCATGTTTTACAGATAGCAGAAAAAAGTTTAGTCTCGCATAGGCTGTGTTTTTGACGAGGAAATGGGGACACACCACCAGACAGACTGTACTTTGAGTGTAGATTGAAATCCATCAACTTGCTTACTAACTTTAAGAATTACTTTGTATTGCTTTGACGATACCATGATTTTTAAATCATGGTAATGTTTTATTGCTTATTTGGGTACCAAAGAAACAACAAAGTATTTGGGGTCCCTGCCTTTGAGATGCTTTTACTTATGGAGGGGGAAGGCAAAGGCAATGGATCACAAATTGCACAAAATTGTAGGAAAGGAGGTAAGGACCGAATTTATTATCACTATATGTCAGATACTGTGTTTGGTACCTTATAGATGTAAATGTATTCGTATATTTTTCACTAGGGAAATGTTGATGTTAAACTATGCAGAACTAATTGGAATGTCTGAGCCAAATCTAAGAAGGTTGTTTTTAGGAAGAAAAGTGTTTAAGATTTTTGGAATTGGAGGGTGTGAGGAACAAATGTAATTAGGAAGTTAGTGTGATGGGAAGACAGGGAAGTTGGTAGGCTTAGGGTCAGTCTGTGTTTGTGTAGATACATGTTTACAGCTCAGAGAAGCAGTTAAGAAGAATGTTTCTGAGACAGTAGTTTTAGATGATTGAGGAGAAACAGTATTTTAGGCCAAGAGACATTATACCTGTATCGGAATTTTATTTTTCTAGGAAACCAACAGTTTTACACTGTGGTCATTGAAGAGCTAGCTATACAGATAGAGGAGTGAAGAAGATGCTTCCAGTATTTTAGTATGATGCTAGTGGTTTCTGGCTGAAAATGTAGAGCTGGGAGTCATTTTCAAAGTATTAAGGTTTCTCGAGAGTGCTGATGGAGAATTTAAAAAAAAAAAAAGGAAAATATGGGTATTTTTACTTGGGGGAGGAAATCTATTAAAGTTAGCAAAGATATAGTAAGAACAGAGAATGGATGAGACTCTCCCTAAAATAGATGTTTTAAGAGTGGATAAAAGTTGACCTTGAAAAGGGAGGAACAACCTTTAAACATGGTTAGCAGTTCAGTCTTAGGGAATATGATTCTATATTTTTGAAACAGCCATAATAAACTTACCAATCCCTTGGGGTTAAGTTCAGAAGAATATATAGGATTTCACTGTTATGGAACCTATGGATAAAAGGACAGATTTCTTTCACCATATTCATGTTTTTAAAGTTTGCCCAACATTATTATCCTAAGTTTGGTCTTTAACATGATGAAATGGGGCTAAAAATAGCTGGGAGAGAAGGCTGCTTCCCCTGTTCGAAGTTGGTGTGTGTCTTTGTGTCTCATACAATGGAGGGGATATCCCTGTGTTGGCACAGCAGTGTTGAAAAAATTTTTTTTTTTTTTTAAAAAACCCTTTTTATTAGAAAACGAATACAAAACAACTTGGCGCTTAAAAAAATTCAGATATCTTTGAAGCATAAGACACTGAAAGACTTTTTTGGTGGTAAAACCTGCTGCTAGTGTGGCTAGCATTTAGTGTTGACTCTACAAGGAATTGAGGATCGTGAGGTAGGGATTATATATATAAAACCACATTTTTGTGTTCCTTAGTTTAAATTCTCCATCTTCCTAGTAGCTTATTTGGCCTCTTTTTTTTTTTTTTTTTTTTTTTCTTTTTTACCAGTGGTTATTCTAATGGCAGAACCCTCTGGAGAAGAGATATTTAGACAGGGAGCTAGATCTAAGGTGATTCCAGGATGAGGGTACAGGGACTGGAATGTATGCCACATGAGTGCCTGCTCTCTTCTCCCCTACTTGCCACATTTTTTATGCAGGTGAAACCATGTTTAGATGAATGCAAAGGGCCTTTTTGGGTTAACATGATTTACTAGTACAGACAGTGGGAAAGGTGGGACTCTGGTAGTAGGGAGTGGTAACCTCATGTGCTTTGCTTGACAACGTTGGAGTTGATGTGGGATGATTAAAGAGCCTTGGGGGTGTGCGTTTGTGTTTGTGTGTTTTAACACCAGATGACTTCCAAAGTCCATACCTAGGCTAGCAGAAGCTGAATTCATATATTTTGGAGATG